ACAGCTTTATTCATAACAGAACTGGAAACAAACAAGTGTCCTTCGGTAGGTGAATGGCTAATGATCAGTAGCACATCCACACCATGGAATAGTGCTCAGCAATAAAAAGGAACAAGCTATTGATACACACAACAACCTGAATGAATCTAACAGAGAAGTATGCAGAATGAAAGGAGCTAATCCCCAAAGGTCATAAACTATATGGTTCCCTTTATATAACATTCTTGAAATGATGAAATTATAGAAATGGAGAAGAGATTAGTGGTTGCCAGGGATCAGGGAGTGGAAAAGTGAGAGGAAGAGTGGGTGTGGCTCTCAAAAGGCAGCTTGAGGGATCCTGATAGTGATGGAAATGTTCTGTATTTTAACAGTATCAATGTCAATATCCCGGTTGTGAAATTGTCCTGTAGTTTTTCAAGATGTTCCCATTGAGGGAAGCTAGATAAAGGTCATATGGGATCTCTGTATTATTTCTTAAAACTGCGTGTGATTATCTCAAATAAATAATTATCTCAAATATACATTATAAAAAGTTTCATTTAAAAAACTTGGTCAAACAGAGGTAGGTTTTTTTGTTGTTTGAAGTTTTTTAAATTTATTTATTTGAGAGAGAGAGAGAGAATGAGCAGTGGGGAGGGACAGAGGGAGAGAGAGAGAGAAGCAGACTCTCCACCGAGCAGAGAACCCAATGCGGGGCTCAATCCCAAGACCCTGGGATCATGACCTGAGTCGAAGGCAGCCCCTTCACCAACTGAGCCACCCAGGCACCCCATGGTCCTCATCCTTTAAAGTAGGCATAGGGATCCTGGCATCTGAGAGTTAGAGGCATTGTCAGGGTCAGCAGGTTCAACCTCTGCCTTCAGCCAAAGCTGGTTTTCATCCTGCCCATTTTACAGACAGAACAACTGAGGCCCGGAGGCCAACATGAATCATGCTTAATCCGGGATTTAGGAATATCTTAAACTCCATCTCATATAGCATCAGCTGCAGCTGTTGTTTCTTTTTTTTTTTTTAAAGATTTTATTTATTTATTCATGAGAGACAGAGAGAGAGAGAGAAGCAGAGGGAGAAGCAGGCTCCCCACTGAGCAGGGAGACCGATGCGGGACTCGATCCCAGAACTCTGGGATCATGACCTGAGCCGAAGGCAGATGCTTAACCATCTGAGCCACCCAGGCGCCCATAGCAGCTGTTGTTTCTCAAAGACCATAGAGCTGCAAAGATTTCAGTCTAGGTCAGAGGCTACCTCTTCGAATGTGGATTTCAATGACATATACAGGGGCTTCTAACCCAGAAGTTTAGGTTGGGGTTTCTGCACGGAGGAGTGGGAAAAGTCCCAGCTTTGCAGTCAGGGAAACCGGGCTTCGAATCCTGACCCAGTCACTTTCTGGTTAGTTATCTGACCTGGAGCAAATCATTTCAGCTCTCTGACCCTCAATTTTCTCATCCATAAAATGGGGCTAATGCCCCCTGATTTAGAGGATCCATTTAATAAATGTTTCAAGGTGATTAAAACAGGCCCCGCCCTCACAGACATCTGTTTGGTGACTAAAAATTCACGTAGAGAACCAGGCTCCTGGGTGTGCATAGTAGGAGCACATTTTTCCCCCTACACCTGCGTGGGCATAACTCTCAGACCTAACAAGTCCCTGGGCAGTTCTCATCTGCCTGAGGAATCCCAGTGGCCTCATCACAAGAATGCCCAGGTGTAGTGCAGGCATGCTTCCAAGCACTTTATACCAATAACGTCACCAGGGATAGGTGCTGCCATCTCCCCATTTTGATGGATGTGGAGATGGAGGCCAAGCTTTTTGTTGCCTCCAGAGTGCACGTGCTTGCTGAGTCAGATGGGCCCCCAGCTGGCAGTCCTGGAATGCAGGGAAGCCGGATGCCACGCTCAGCTGCTGAGTTGGCTTCCCTGGGGCTGTCAGCTGTGCCCACAGGACAGTGCGAGGTTGTCTCATGAATCACCATCCCCCCTACATACACACATAGGGCAGTGAGGTCACCTCGGGAGGGAGCTAAGCTGGGGCCTCCCGTACACCTCTGGCAGCCCTGTCCGCAGCCCTGGCCATCTGCCCATGTTGGAGAGATAGCAAATGCCCTGAGGTTGTGCCTCTATCCTGTGTCAGGTCCATACATCCTGGTGCTACAGGTGATACAGGAAGTAAACTCATTTGCTCAGAGACAGGAAGTACCTTCTCCTGGGATTAGAAAGCAAACAGAAGGTGAGACAGGGGGTCTTTCTGAGCACTTACTATGTACCAGTCATTGAAACCTTTAAATGATACGAAGTATTCTTTAGTCCAGTGATTCTTGAACAAGCATCAGAAGCACCTCGGGGGGCTTGTTAAATACAAATTATGGGTCCCACTTCCAGAGTTGTTCACTCAGTAGGACTGGGATGGAACCTGAGAATTTGCATTTCTAAAAGGTTTTCAGGTGATGCTGAGGCTGCTGGTCCAGGGACCACATTTTGAAAGTAACTAATCAGTTCAACTTCCTTTCCCCTGGTTAACGGTGGTCTTCAACTTTCTTCTTACATACCTCCTGGGACGGAGGACTCATTGCCTATTCTGTCAACCTATTCCATTTCTGGATTGTTCTTACTGTAAAGACAGGAATTTTGTGTGTGTGCTTGTGTTGAGAAGAGAGCTAATTCTATTGGCCCTTCCCTGTAGCCCGTTCTTTCTGCCTCTGGATTACACAGTCTCATCAGACAGGAGCAGCTAGAAGGGAGAGGAGACCTGTAATCAGACTGAGGGTCTCCCTCACCCTCCCAGGCCATCAACCAAGCCCTGCCTGTTCTACCTTCTAAATCAGGACTGTCCAACAGGAATATATTGTAAGCTGTATGTACCTACAAAAATTTTTAAATTTTCCAGTAATTACATTAAAAATAGCAAGAAGCAGCAGGTGGAACTAATTTTAATAACATATTTTCTTTAACCCAGTGTACCTAAAGTATTATCTTTTTAATGGGTAATACCAAAATTATTAGTGAGCTATTGCGTATTCTTGTTTTTCATAGCAAGTTTTGGGTGTGTTTTACACTTAACAGCGCATCTCAGTTCTGACCAGCCACATTACAAGGACTCCATAGCCACACGTGGCTAGTGGCTACTGTTTGGGACAGTGCAGTGACCCTGTCCCTAGTCCTTATCTCCCATCATGGCTCGTGCTCACCTGAATGCCTGCCCCTCACAGCCTCCCCAATCCACAACATGGCAGCCAAATTGTTGTCTAAAATGTGGTAGATTTGATCATGTCCCTCTTGTGTGGCTCCCCATTGCTCTCAGGATAACACCGGGCCTCCGAGGTCTGGCTCCCAAGGCCCTGCCTCTCGCTTTCCCTTCTCCCCTCCTCCAGGCCCCACTCTCCTGCTGCACTGAGTTATTTCCAGATCCTCAGCACAAGCAGGGCCTCTTCCTCCTAACCCTTTGCACTCCCGGGTCCCCCTGCCTGGAATGCCCTTGCAATGCTTCTTCAGCTTCCCTTTCAGGTCATTCATTCAGTCAACAAAATCTATTGAGCACCTACTATGTGTCAGACACCAGCCTAGGTTCCTGGAGCAAACAACACATAAGGAGGAAATACAAAAAAACATATAGTACGTCAGTTGACGAACAATAAAGTGGGATGACAGGGAAAGGTGGTGCCGGCGGTTACTACTTTGTACCAGGTGGTCAAGGGAAGGCCTCTTGGAGAAGGTGACATTTGAGTAGAGACCTGAAGAAGTGAGGAAAGGAACCAGCTAGCTATTGGGGAAAAAGCATTTTAGGCAGAGGGAACAGCGAGTGCAAAGGCCCCGAGGGTGGAACCTAACTGGAGTGCTTGGGGCACATTCCAGTGTAGCTGGGCAGAGTGAGAGAGGAAGTGATTGGAATTAAGGTCAGAGAGAGCAAGAGGTGGGTCCCAGATGGTGGAGGGCTATGTAAGACCTTGAGTTTTATCCTGAGTGAGGTGGGAGCCCTGGGAGGGACATGAGTTGTCTTGGGTCTTAACCAGATTCCTCTGGTTGCCATGATTAGGACAGCCGCTGGGCTGAGAGCAGGAGCAGACAGACTAGTGATCATGTTGGCTGGACCAGGGTGGTTGCCACGGAGGTAGAGAGAATAGCCTGGCTTTGGGATACGTTGAAGGTGGGGCCAACAGGGTTTTCCAGATATGTCAGATACAGAGTATGAAAAAGCCAAGAGTCAAGGATGACTCCGAGATTTTGGTCTGAGCTTAGGATCCAAATGACTCCTCTTCCAGAAAGCCCTCCTGGGAACCCATAGCTCCCTGGGCCTTGCCCTCATGGGGCCTGTCATGGCCTGTCTCTAGCTGGCCTGGGCACTTCCCAAGGCAGTGTAGGACTTGTTTACTATCCTACTTCCAAAGTGTTTGATAAGTGAGTAAGAAGCAGAGGCAGGCTGAGCTGGGGTTATTCTTGGACTCACTGTCAGAGGTCAGTCCCCACCCCTCACCCCCTTGGGACCTGTGTTTTCCTGTCTGCACAAGGCAATGGACATTCTAGCCTTTGCCCAGTTTCCTCACCAGGAGAGGGCACTGCCAGTCCCATTCACAGGAGTCCCCCTGTCCTCTGAGCCCTGGGCCTCTGGTCCTGCTGCCTGCCCAACCTCACCCCTTGGGAAAGCATTGGGTTGGCCCACACAGCTGGGTCCTGAGTCAGTCTCACCAATTAGGTGGGATCTGGGACACACCCCACCTCCTCCCTGCCCCAGCCAAGGGCGGTGCAACTACCGCCTGCATCACCGCGCCGAGTCAGCAGTCATGGCCATGACCAGGGGGTGGGTCTGGGGGTTTAGGGGCCCCATCTGCTGTGCCTGGGGTGTCATGAGGAAGCCTCAAGTCAGACAGGAAGGCCTGGGGCCCTATAGCACCAGCCGGAAGGAATGCCACCCTGGTGAACTGAGTGCAGCCCAGGGCAACTCATGCCCCGCCCCCTCCCTGTCACGGGGGTGTGGCCTGGCCTCTCCCTCTTCCCCTGCCCAGCCTGGCATTGGCACAGTCCACACACGGCTCTCCTGGCAGCCAACACGGGCCTCCAGACCTCAGGTAATGGGACACACGTGCTGGGTGAGGGGCGGGGTGGAGGGTTAATTTTTAGAACAGGCTCTTCCACCGGCCTGAGATTTTGTGGTTCCTAGGTGGACCTGGATTTGAATCCCAGCTCTGCACCTTCCCATCTGGGTAAGCACCTCAGTCTCCATCTCTGGAGGTATCAGGGGAGGATGACAAATATTCACCTCCCTGGGTTGTTTTGAGGCTTCAGCCAGCCCATGTTTGGTCATAGCAGGTGACCAACTCCTGTTTCTGTCGCTAACTTGCTGCAGGACCTTCAGAAAAACCTTTGATGGCTCTAAGCCTCAGTTTCCCCATGAAGGGCCAAACTCGATCTCTGACGGCTTCGTCCATTCTGCCCTTGTGGGACCAAACACTTGGGAGGACGAAGGTGTTTCCCCCCAAAGCATCCCATTCTCTGTGCTTTGACCAGCAAGTGAAGGCAGCTGCCCTCCAGACACCCCCTCCGAAGGCGCCCTAGGCTCTCTGGGCCAGGCCTGGTAGACTCGAGAAGATGAGGAGGCCAGTCGTCTCCTCTGCCTTGGGCTCAAAGCACCTTTGGGGAGAAAATGCTGGAAATGCTGAACAGGCAGAGCCGGGCCTTGGGGGAGGGGAGCCCTGCTGCCTGTCAGAGGCTCACCCAGGTGGCGTGGCCTGGAAGGGAGCCCC